GGAAAGAGTTTCTCGCACAGTTTACACCTAGAAGTTCACAAAAGGTGTGACTAAAGACTAAGGCTTTTGTCCCTTTAGAAGAAAGACCGGCGTCGGGCACCACCTGGCCAGCATGTGGCTGTCGTCTGTCTGCGACAATCGCGGCCTCGGGAGAGGCCGGCTCCCTCGCTGCACCCGCCCCTCCTGACCCGTTCACCGCGTTAAGCCGCAGTCCCTGTGACCTCGGGGGCTCCAGTTGGCGCGTTACCTCTATGCGGCCTGAGGAAACCCCGAATCCGGGCCATGGACCCGTCGGGGCTCAGGACTGCGCGCCTGGGAATCGGTACCCGGACAGCGAAACCAATTCCACGTACTCAGCCCCGACCTCTCTCCAGCATCGGGATGGCCGCTGAGAAGCCTCTTCACCTCTCCCAGCCCACCCCACTCACCCGTCACACCGAGGTGCGCTCGTAGCCCTGCTTCAAGCGCAGCAGCTCCGCAGGTGTCGGTTGACGTCCCGCAGCTTGCGCAGGCGCACTGCCCGCCCGAGCACGGCGGCCGCCTTAACCCCCAGGCCGCTGAGGTTTAAAACCCGGAGAACCAATAGGTGTCCTTGGCCCCGCCCCTTCCCTTCTATTGGTCCTGAGGGTGTACGCCTTCCAAGTCTACATTTTGATTGGTTTATGTTTTCTCTTGGCCCTCCCCTCGGGCGGGAGGTAGCCCGGGATATGGGGCGTCCGCTGGGAAAAATCTGATCCCCGCGGCGCTGGAGCGCGAACTGGAACCGTTGCTGCGTCGCTAGGCACACCCGACGCGGAGGGGAGGGCTTTCAAGCTTCCTTTAACGGCCTGGTTAGCTGGGCTTAAGGAGGGGCTGTCTTAGAATTCCGTCCACCTCACCGAATCAGTCTCTTAACTTTTCCGACTGTGGGCGGCTCGGTGGCGTCCAGAGGGTTCCCGGCGCGGTCGGAGCCGTGATCCGGTTCCCACCTCTGCGCATCAGCCCTTTGACCCGTGTCCGACACGCGGGTTCTGTGTGAAGGCTCGGAGGCGCGGGAGGACTTTCTCAGGCTCACAGGCTCCCTGATCTGACCCAGTGCTATGTCTCCAGTCCCACCGACCTTACTTTCAAACTGACTTCCTTGCCTGAACCACCGCTCACAGGCGGTGTTCCTGCGGAATGCGCCCGTCTACTCCCTTCACTTAGTCTTATTCTTAAAAACGGTGTTTTTGTTTGTTTGTTTTGAAGCTGTATCTGATAAAAAACGGTCTAGTGCTTTGGCAATTGTTAAGAATGGGACCTAGAAAAGAAAAAGGGATGAGGTCCCCACGACTCGATAAGCCTAGTCGCTGCATTGAACAACTTGTCCTCCAAGTCCTCACACAAATAGGCAAGTGCTGGTTGACGAATTTATGCTGTTTTTAAAATCCAGCATTTAACGAGAAGGAGAAAATAATGTTTAATCTTTTTCCTCCAAATACTTCATATTACCTCTTATCCTTCTCCCTGTGTCTCAAAACCTTGGCATTACTTCTAACGCACTTTGGGTTTGTTGGGGGAAAGAAAAAAAAGCAGGATGACAGAAGTAGGTTGTAAAGATTTGAATGACTCTGTCCTTAGATCCTCAATATCCTAACACTACTGCACACAGTTTTTTCTTTCCTCATGAACAAATACCCCATGTTTAGGTTTGGTCATTTTATACATGCATGACTTTTTCTCTGGCATTGAATCTCCAGTCAGTTGGTCTTAGATACGAGAGTAAACAGTCATTTTTCTGACCTACTGCTTGGATCGTTCCACATATTTCTTACCAACTTCCCAATTCGTTTCTTGTTATGCTTTACGTTAAAATTTGATTCTTGAACACCTTTAATAGGCAACACCTTGAAGGAGCTGCCTCCTGTCATTTCAAGTGGTATCTTGTGTTCAACTCAGTACTTGGTTTTGGTGGATTACTTCATCCTCTAACTTAACCTAGATCTAATTTAATAATCCTTGTGTCCCCCGAAATCCCCTGAACCTGAAGAAAACTGAAGCAAGACCATCTAAAATGTGGTATATGGAAAAAATCCTATTCTTGCAAAACAAATTGCTTCTTTAAAAATTTTTATAAGAAAAATTTCAAACATATAAAAAATGTATATAGTGAAGCCTATGAAGCCCCATGAACTCAATGCCCAGCTCCAACAATTGTTAACTCATGACCAATCTTGTTGCTACTGCTTCACTACCCACCTGCTTTCTCTTGTATTATTTTGAAGCAAATAGCAAGCATCTGAAATCTATATTTTGGTATGATTTCTTTGAAAAAGATATTTTAAAAGCAAAACCACAATACAATTATCATACCTAAAATATTTAATGTATTTTCTTCATGTCATCAAATATCCAGTGTTCAGTCTTCTACTTGTCTCAATTTTTTTCTTTGCTTATTCGAACCAGGATCCAATCAAGTCCACACGTTGTGATTGGTCGATATGGCTTTGAAGTTTCTTTTATTCTATAAATTCCTCCTCCATTTTTTTCCCTTGTAATTTATTTACTGAAGGTACCATATTGTTGGTCCTATCGAGTTTCCCATAATTTGGACTTTGCTGATTATATCTAAGTGATGTAGTTTAACATGGCTTCCTTACCTTTTGGTTGTAATACAGCCCTCTTCCAGATGCTTGCCTTAATTAAGTCTAGCTGGCTTACTAGCCCATCAGCCTCTTTATCTATGCATTCAGATATTACTTTCCACTGGTTATACTGTCATGCATGTTAATCACTCCTTTATGATATCTCTGCTTACTTCACCCCTTTGTTGACATTTTCAAACTCCTTCAACTGTAGTCCTCTCTTAGCTGACTAATCCTATCTCTAACATTTTCAATTCTTCTCTCTTTATATTTTCTCCAAACTGAGGAACGGCAACAATGGCATAAAGAAAAACAAAATGAAAACCACTCTCACTTGACACTGCTGCCCCCTTCTGTCAGCCTAGTTGTCTAATCTCTCTCTCCTGTTATTGGTCAGTTCCTTAAATCCCTGAGTTCTGGATTCTGCCCTCATCAATATATTCAAACCATACTCTCAAGGGTCACTGATCTTCTTAGTCAAATCATTGTTTTGCTCAGTCCCCATTCTCTTTTACTTATTTTTTTGAGGATATTTGATAATTTATTCAGCAAATATTTATTGAACACCTATGTTAGGTACCGTGCCTTGTCTTGGTGATTTGTTAATAAATAAAGACACAAACCCTGCCCTTCTGAAGCTTCCGATCTGATAGGGAAAAATTGACATTGATCAAACAATCATCAATTAATGTAAAATTACAATTGTGTTTAGTGCTAAGAAGAGGCAAATGGTCCAATTGAGAACATCTAATAATAGGGAGATTTGACACTGTCACTGACCCAAGAACTGAAGGACAAGTAGGGGGAAGAATGTGGAGGGGAGAGATGGGAGTGAAAGGTGTTTTTAGGCAGAGGGTAAAGCATATGCAAAAGCCTGTGGAGGTGGAAGATTGGAAGATTCGAGAAGTTGAAAGAAGACCAGCAAAGAGACAGAAGGTAGAGATGAGACTGGAAGGCCAAATCATGTAGGTCATGTAGGCAGGTAAAAGCAAAAGATTTGATCTTTATCCTAAGAACTAGGAAAATTCACATGAGAATTGTGCTATGTGCTACGTGACATACGCAGGTTTGCATTTGAACTTTCATTTAGGCTGCGTTAAGCAGAATGGATTTGAAGAGGGCAAGATTATATGTTAAGTCCAAATGGGAGGCAGTTGCATTATTCAGGCAGAAGACGGCGGTGGCTATGGCTAGGCTGGTAGTCGCCAGAGATAGCAAGAAGGGAATCGATAGACATTTAATGGATAAAACCTATAATGACTTGAACATGGATTGGTTGGGGTTGACGTGCAAGAGAAAGACAAGCCCTAGATTAGTCATAGGTTTCTAATTATTGTAGCTCGGTGTTATTTTCTGAGATAGGGAATACTGGGAGAAGACCATGTTTTGAGAGGAAGTTAGATTTTCGGTATGTTGAATTTGAGGTACCCTTGAGACATCAAGTGAAGCTAAAATTAGGCAGCTGGAAATTCAAGTGTGGAGGTGAGACGCAAGGTATGTCATATGGTTGGACGGTAGTTTAAGTAATGGGTGAGAATGGGTCTTCCTGGAGATTGTTTAGAGTGGAAAAAAAGAAGGCAACCTACTGTCTTTTTGAAACTCCCATTTTTTGAATTCTATAGAACTCCCCTGCCCTGATTCCCATCCCACCTCTCCTCTTCTGCCACTCAACTGTTGCTAATCTTTAAAGATTGGTCCTTTTTTTACCCCCTTATAGAGGTTAATAGTTTTGTTGTTCCAATATCCATTTTAGGTGAGATAATTTCAAAATCTATATTTCAAATCTTTACCTGTTTCCTGAGTTTCTAACATCTATCTTAGCTGCATACTTGAATTTCTACATGGATATATCTTTTAATCTTGCAAAATGCAATATATATGAACTGTTATTCATCTTTTCCCTCTGGTTTCACCCTCGTGATTTCTGTATTCTGATCAGTGATACCTCTTTAGTAGGTTGATAAGAAGAGGTCTTTCTTTTGCTTTCCAGTAGATGGCGCTAGAGTGCAAGTGTTTTATTTTCCCTTGCCTGCTCCATCCAGTCTCTCTGTGGGGCAGTGGAAAATGATTTGTATTCCCTGGGGAGATGGGCTTCTCCTCTATGATAAGGTCACCTAGGTCTCAGGACACCACCTCTGTGGGGGCATGTGGCGGACGATGGCGTTCCAAGCCCGTGAAATCTCAGCGCTGTCCCCTGCAACCAGACACAGTGCTGCACTGCCTGGAGGTGTCTCAGTTGCCCCGACAGAGATCAGCCCCCATGGGTGGGAGCGGGGTGGGTTGGGAGAGTCCTGTTGTGTTTTTGTGGCTTGTTCTTCTCCCAGAAATTGCGACTGCCAGACTTCAGCTGCCTCACCTCTCTATCTCTGCTCCTTACTGGGATTAGCTGCAGCATGTGTGCATCTGCTGCTCAGAAACTGTCTCTTCAGTTCTCGGGGCTGCGGATATTCTGCTGTCACCTGACACTCACTGCTACAGCTTCTTCTGGGGCCCAATGCTAGCTCTGGGAGGGTGAAGGGAGACAGCCAGACTCCATGGCTTTGTTTTCTGTCTGGCAATGGCAGCTGCTGTCACGCAGCTGTATTCCGTCTCTGTTGTGGTCACTGGATTCAGCCGCAGTACATGCTGATCTCTCAGTCAGAAATACTTGGGGCTACAGAGTTCACACTGCAACCTGATTCCTCTAAGACCCACAGTGAGCTCCAGGCTGCATCTGTGGCACCAGTCTCTGTTCTTCTCCCTTCCTATCTCATCTTCCCTGTTTGCTCTGATTCGCCCACCTTCAGTTGTTTCAATGCGCCGATCACTCAGATGTGTTTGTGTTTTGAGCTGGGAATCTTTGTTGAATTACAGCAGTTCAACATGTAACTTCAAGGGGAGAGATCAAGGGGAGCTCTCATGCAACCATGCTTCTGACCTCATTTTTCTGTACTATTAAGTTG